GCAGTTCTACTTTTGAATCTGTGGACAATCCTGAAACCTCTTGGTAGTACTTTCCCATGGTATCATTGGCTTTTCAACATTTTACTAGACGTTTTTAAAACGCCATTTGTCGGTACGATGCCTTGTCTCCTCCATTACGTTTGCCATAACTTGGTTGAAGCTCTGCATCTCTCTTTTTTAATAAAGGGCTCCAAAACATCAGATATCCAGTGAATGAAGTGTTCGTAGTTATTACGTCACTTCCGGCTCTTATCCATCTACACTGACGCGGCGATGACCTGGATTTTCTTTACTTTTTTCTTTGAACCTAGTGTTCTGTTGCATTTTGAAATACTCACTTATTATCAAACTCCTACTCACTTAGGATTCGTGGTTGGTTGCATTACTCAGAATGCGCTTGTATTGATGTCATTTATTCCACAGCCGTAAGAGTATTTGAACTCATCATGACATTAGGAGCTTTCAATGGCAAGCCAGTGGTGTGGGACAGGTCACTTGAGGACAAACTGTCTACGAAGTTTGGATTCCTGGCCAGAAGAGTTGAGAAACAGGTTAGAAACAAAGACGAAGAGATTAAAAGATATATACTACATGTCTTATTTCATTAAAAGTGGCCACTAGGTTTTCGCCTGGCGCCGGTCGCAGCCCAGCTCCAGGCCAATGCGCTCTCCAAATATGTAGGGGTCTTGCCATCCTGGTCGGCACAGCTGGATAGCCCAAGAACTGCCCTAACAGTGGGTAGGTGGATCATGTCTGGGGGGCAAAGCTAGTGGGGTAGAGAGGGGGCTATTTTGACACAACCCCTTCAATAAGGAACAGTGTTTGCTGGAAGCCCTGACTGGCAAGCACTTTGTTTTTACTTTGCCGTAGCCAGCTGAATCAGGCCTCTGCTGAGAATAATTATCATGATAATTGCAAAGCTCAGTGGGAGACGCAGACAGTTACCCAATGTCCTGTGTGGGGAGGGTGAACGTCTTGGTAGCAAGGACATACTTGTGCACACTCACTGAAGCCATGTTTACATAAATTCAGTCAGGCATATCGTAAATCCTTGATGAGGCCGCATCTCTAAAATAAGCCCCCTTCTCTTCGGGGGAACAAAGTAAAAACCTTCCTCTTCCCTTAGTATTCTTCACTAAAAAAATGATAGACTGTATGAATCAATCACGACTGTAAAACTCTATTTGAACTGATCCGGGATGGTTTATTCACATGTTGAAGTTCGGATTTGTTTTTGATTCCCGGCATCACGACCCTCAACTTCTCGTACTTGCACTTTTTCACATTGTGTTGTGGTGTGAAGAATTGTTCAGTATCTTTTCTATCTTTTGTATTACGTGATCTGGTGATTGCACCCATACGCGACACCAATTTCCTACCTCTTGTTTCCTCTTGCCCTATCCCCCTCATTTCTAATACCGCTTCTTGATGCCTTCTCTACCTTTCTGGGTTTGGAGGGCACTGACCATTACATGGTTGAATGGATGATATTTTTTTCAGGAAGCATACCGTAAAATTCCGAAAATAAGCCCCCGGGCTTATGTTTTTCAAAGGCCCTTTTTGAGGGGCTTATTTTTGGAGGAGCTTATATTGGGAGGGGTTTATCTATGGAGGGAAATTTGCGTTTCAAATTAGATTGGGCTAGCCTTATAGCTGGAAGTAAATTTACTGTTTTTGCTTTGTTTTATTTTGTATTTGAGGGCAATTTTCCGAGTACAAGCTCCCGGGGGGCTTATATTTAGAGGGGCTTATTTTCGGAGTTTGACGGTATTTTCAAATGCAGTATTCATTTTTTATTTCTAATGTGAATGTAATGTTTTCTTGCAGTGCAATTTGTGGTTTGCTGGGAAAGCAAGGTTTACAGGAAGGTTCTTAAAATGCCTTGTGCGAGCATTTAGGTAGATCACATTTTTAGTTGCTCTTGATCTTGCATTAATTTTTTGGTGAAATGATGCAACTCTGAGTTTTATACTGTTCTATTTATCCTTTTTGCGTATTAACTATTTATTTACCAATTTTTCTATTTAATTTGCCTAGGCAAGGGAGCGTGGTTGCAGATATTGACATGCAGTTTGCTGACAACGCCACTGATGTTACTAACGACGTTGTTATTAGCCAACTGCCAAGATCTGGGCAGATGGGAAATCTGACGTACAATCCATCAACTGTAACAGTTTCAGGTGCGTTTATAAGCCATCGTATTTCAACAATGGACGGTCAACGAAAATCAGTCAACAAGCCGGCTGGAAAGGGCGCCTTTAAATCTTTAAAGTTCCCAAGTTTTAACGTGATTTTTTGAAAACTGACAGAAATAAAAGAAAGAAAGTTGGTGAGGACGATAGTAGCGTAATTTTACAGACTTTTGTATGGCGCGCTTTCTTAGGACGTTTAACTGTAAGGCTCATCATAATTTTAAGGCTCTCATCCCAGCAGTGTCGGTGGATATTTGCTCACTAGTCTTTATCAAAGCTTGAAAAAAAGAAACCGTTGATGGATGTATTCCAAGTCTATTTCCCTTTTGACGTCTCCTATTTCCTGTGAATCAAATGTTATATTGACCTCCTCGACCTTTTTTCAATGCCTTCCATTAGATTTTGACGAGTGTCAGCAGGCAACTCACAACTGTCATGCGCAGGCAAGTTGTATCAACAAAGAAGGCTCGTTTGAATGCAAGTGCAAGGATGGTTACCAAGGCGACGGAATCACAAACTGCGGTAAGTACAGACTATTTATGGTGGTTGTGGGGCAAAACAGGGGGATGGGGAGGGGGCTTCTGACACAACTTTTCAGCGTCAGATTTATGCAGTGTTTTGCGAGGCTTTTAATGGAAATATATTTTTCTCATACCTGAACCAGCTGCAGGTGCATCATGATTGCAGAGCTTAGAAGGCATGATGTGAAAGCCAGTCTGAGTCTTATGCGTGGGGGGGCGGGGGGGGGGGTTAGGAAGGTAAATTTTTGGTACTAAGTTTCGTGGTAGGCCCATAATACACCTTGTTTACCTCCTTTTTAGCGGTCACGTCACAGTCGTAAGTGACAATAGTCCGTTTGCCTTGATAAGATAGCAGAGTAGAAAAAAAATGCGTGCGTATCGCACTAAGCTTGCGTTTGCTTTAATCGTATGAACATCTCATGTGTTTGCTGTTGTGAATTTAAAAATTCAGGCGGAAGGTCGACAGTTTTGACCATCCGTAGAAAAGAAACGTAACTAAGGAGGCCTGTGTTATCAAAAAGTTAAACAAAATCAAGTCAAACTTCTTTCCTTTGTTGTAGATCCTGCACCGAAAGCTGCGGAGACAGGTATTGTAGTTTTTCAGTTTAGTCTGATGGCTTTGTTTATTATTTTATGTTACTATTTTTATGAGTTTAATTAAGGAGCGTATGCTCGTGTGAACATGCGCGTGATCTCAAGGATTTTTCTTTATCGTTCTCCTTATGCTCGTGCCTATAAAGGTTTAAAAAAGGTTTGAAGGGTTGTTAAGTGCACTTACCTTATGCAGCTAGTTTACAGGCACTCCACTCAAATACTTGAAGCAGACAATTCAAATACAACTGGTAGGAGGTAGCCAGTTAGCTATTTACAAGCGTTGCCAAGGATTTGAACTCGGAACGACCGAGAACAAATCCAGGCTGAGCGGAACTCGAACGCGGGACCGCCGGATTGCGAATCTGACCACTCGGCCACGCTGCCTTTTGACTGTTGCGGCCGTCCTCACAAGCGCATACGCTTCTCATTCTAATGCTTTTAACTATGCTTATTCTTGCGATTGCTTGCTAGTGAGGACACTAGCTTGTTTAGTTGAAGGGACTAATTTTTTTTTACTTAAAGCATTTTTTTGCTCCGGTTTTATGTTTGCACAGATGACGATGACAAGAAGAAGAGGGCGGCAATAATTCTTGGTTCCATTTTTGGAGCTCTAATTCTTCTGATTATTATCGTGCTGTGCATTGTCCAGCGAAAAAAGTAAGTCATCTTGAGACGCAACATTCGTCACAGATGTTATCTAACCCCGGCTAGTAAAGTCTGCGAAGCATCGCCAAGATCTATTTTCTGGGCCCTGAGAACGCCATAAACAATCTTATCTCAGATAAGGAATGTGAGACGAGTAATTGGAAGGATAAGTTGCGAGTATTGATCAAAGCAATTCTGTGTCATAATTGTCAGTGTAAGGGTTGATTTCCACTGTCACGTAATTTTCACGTGCGTACGAGCGTAAAATTTACGTTCGCAAATATAATAGAGGCAATGCATGAACGATCGCTCGTAAGCGTAAAAGTTGAACCTCGGTCATCTTCACGTTTAAGCTTAACACTTGCCTCTATTTTATTTTGCGTGATTAAAATTTACGTGCGTTAACGTTCGTAGCCAAAAACGCGTCAGTGTAAATCGACCTAAAAGAAGCTTTCGTCTCTTTCTGTTAAGGCTCTTTTGGTGCTTTTCCCGCCAATACTTCGCCTTTTCAATAGTTACAAGCTTTGTTTGTTTTGTTTTCAGGCGATACAAGGCGAAAATGAGTGAGGCAGACCGTGGTATAAGTTTATCGTCCCGCAGTGTTCAATCTGATATTTCTCACCCTAATGATCAGAATGATAAAAACAAGAGAGGCTCCTACGTGGTGAATGCTGACCCAGAATATGAGAACGCCAGGACGCCGGATCGTCAGATGTCCCAGATGAGCGGAGACTACGACTACCCAGACCCGTATCCCCAGAATCAGAGGGAGGGCTACTATGACAACCCGGGGTTGAAGAAGGTATTCACACAAAAAAATTACAGTTTTCCCAAGATCTTCTCCAAAATTCATGATACAAAAACAACGGAATTCATACGATTGTAACCATGAGGGTGGAGTCACCAGCATTAGTTCCATTACTACCGCCCTGACTGTTACAACTATCGTCACTATCACCAGTGCGAGTGATAACCACCATTATCACCACCGCCACTTATACCACCACCACCAGTGCTACCAACTACAGTTGTTGTACCTCTACCATCACTAGCGTGAGTGAACACCACCACAATTATCACCACTATCATTTATACCACCACCACTTCTGCCACTACTATTAGTTGCAGTGTGACCGTTACTAATACCAGTACCGCAACCATTGCAACTATCACTAGTGTTAGTGAACACCACCACCAATATCACCACTGTCGCTATCACTACCACTGCTACACTACCATTATTTCCAGTGTGAACGTGGCCGCTACCACTATCATCCGTGCTATCGCACACTACCAGCACTATCACCAGTACTACTTCTCCCACCATCACTACCACCAATATTGCCACTATCACCCCTAATTCCACCTCAGTGGCCACCACCACTACCCTTGCAATCCCTATTAACAATACTACTAGTGTCACTACCATTACCATTATTACTACTACTTTCCTATTGCTACCACCACTACCAACAACAGTGTTGTCACGTGAAGACTTTCACCACTGCCGTCACCAATATCATACATGGTGTATTGCTTCACCGCCATACACTATTCTGTTATGTAGTTTATAAATAAAAGTACTTTTAATATATTTTTTCTTAATTTACAGGACTCCGCCATGTGAACGAGCACTCCCTGGTGACCTATTTATTATGCTACCATAACCTGCACGTAAATTCCTGTCCATGTTTTGTATGACCTACCCTTTTTGTATCGTTTTCAATGCTGATTTTTTTAGTAAAACTTGCTTCTATTGCAAAACGGTTCTCGCAACTTTAAGCACGAGTTTTATTTATCCACGAATAAAACGGGGTACAAACTATCACTTGTTGCTGCATTCATTTTCCCCTTTTCTACCTCGTCCATAGACGCTATGATCGACCTTAAAGAGACCCCGAACGGACTCATGGAAAGGTTACAAAGCGCTGCTTAAGAGTAAAAAGGGTGTTTTTATTTCAAGGAGGAAAGTTATTTATCTATAAATAAATTTTAACATGTCTTGCTTTTTGTTATTTTTTAAAAACTACAACATTCACTACTCTACTCAAAATATTTGTGCCATAACACAGTACTCAATAAATCGTCCGTGTTGGTGAATAGACAGCTCTGGATTTCAGGACTAGGACGACCACGAGGACTACACTTAGTTTTAAGTTTTATCGCCTATTCTCGAAACAAGGACACCCTGGAAAGCTTTATCTTACTTTTTTTTCACCACAACCGTTAGTTTATCTCCGTTGAACGAGGTAAAGCCCTTTCCCGATCGCTAATTGATATAACTTGTTTTTGCCACTACGACATTCTCGCTTAAACTCGTAGTAGAATGACGATGGCTACCACATTTGTCCGCCATAATGACTTTGATTTGGGCGTTGGTTTGACTCTAAAGCTCTCTAATGTCATACTCTATATTTCCAATATTCATATTTTTACCACCTCTTTGGTCATGTGGTATGGTAGAGTCCCTCATTCGCTGCTCAACAAGATGACGAGAAGGCAAAATATTCTCCGTGACGAGCAAGACAGCTGTTATAGTAACATAATATATTGATTTAGCCAGGGCTAAAAGCGAAGCTCTTGATAATTTCTATAGTTTGCTCAAACAAAATATAAAATCGTATAATGCTCAGCGGCGAAGGCAACGAGATCGGTAAAAAAAAACAATAGGTCTAATTAGCAAAAAAGCAACTTTGCACGTGCAGCACACTTTTTTTGTTCATTTCTTTCCGTTGTTTTGCACGACTGTTACGTGAAACTTCAAGAAACGCTCATTTTCACCCTGGTGGCCGCTAGCATCCCGCCTCTACAAAATTTCATTTTGTTCCTCCAACAGAAAATGTCTCCTTTTGTTTTTCCCCTCTCGCTCAAGCTCTTTTTCTCGTTAGCTTCGCTGGTCTGTCGTTCTACTTTTTTTTCTTTTTCTTTCTCTTTCTCTATATTCCAAATTTGTGGACATGGCAATTAATCTAAGCTTAATACTTAAAAAAAAACACGGATACAGAAACATTTTCCGCTTTCCGTTTTCGTCTTTATTGACTCTTTATTGTGTTTGCTTCACAAGACGCGGGTGGCCATACGCTTTCCTGCCAAAATAACCTGACATTTGGCATCGGCTTACATGTAGTGACTGTATGGACGGTCGTTCGTACGCTACGTCAAAACCAAATTTTCTAGGATGGATAGTTTACCAAATTTTCTTACCCGTGGTGTTCCGCTGGCGCGCGTCGCGCACGAGAGCTCCGCTATAACGCATCATTTCTAGCTCACAGTACCCTTGTAACACTAAGCCTAAATGCTTGCATCTTCGAGTTTCACTTCGCCGATGTCGAGGTTGCGGATGTTAACATTGAATCACGATGTGGAAATGATACCTTGGCAATGTTTGGTGATGTAGACCACATAACGAGAATTGGCTTACGGGCATCTTTTATTTTTCCAAAGCGGGTAGTCAAATATTTTGCCATGAAATTTCAAATATCTTTTAGTGATATAATCGCAATTGATAAGGTTTGTTTATTTACGTCTTTTTAAAGTGATGATTTGGTCTACAAACCTGACCATCTTGCGTATTTTGCCCCCTCAAGCGAGGTCCGAACAATTATTATTACTGCCTAATTGAATACTGTGACCTAGAACCGATCAATGATTCATGGTAGTGTTTTTAAGCGATCAAGAGGGCACTTAGTCCACATACCAAGACGTCCATTTTTTTTTGGCGACCATCTTACATTTTCCGAAGGCGGTACCTTGTGATTTCCGACTAAAAACTGAAATATCTTCTCTCTTTATTTTTGGTCAAAGGAAGGCAGGAAATGGTGTTAGGCGATGTCACGAGGACTTCGATTTTAGTTGGCGGCATCTTACTTCTTAAAAAAGAGGTAAGCGTGTTTTGTGTCTGAAATTTCCACTAAAATTTACCTAACAATAAACCCATTTTTACTCAATCATTAATGAATTATAATCATCACCCGAAACATACCTAACCTTCTATTCATACAAATATACCCCTAATCAACCCAAATCTGAACCTTGTACTACCTTAAAGAGAGAAGACATGTGACGTCACAAAAGTTCAAATTAATTGTAAAAATTATGTGATTGGTTAGCAGGCCTAGATCGTAAACGTTACGATCCAAGCCAGTTTTAAACTGAAAGATTTGTATAGAGTCATCAGAGCATAACAGTGCTTTTATCTATCCACCGAAAAAGTCTTACTTTTTGCAACGGCGCTTTTTTCATATTGCTCCTTCTGGATATGCCAATAAATCACGTAACTTCACAAAATTTGTTTTCGTGAAGTCATCACTTCACCAATTCATAACTAACCTTTACCGTGTCAAACCTAGAAATCACCTTTTTAACCAATCATAACATAATCACCACCTTATTATAACTGATCTTTACCTTATCATCAGCTAAGTATCAGCTAATTACGCCTATTCGATAATTGTACCTTATCCCAGCTGATCATTGAACAATACGCATTGTTTATTATTACATTTTGTTATATAGCTAGAATTTTTTTCCCGACAGCGCGCGCTCTCATTGGTTACTTTGAGTTCAGATCACATCTAACTATGAAACTATTTCCCACCAAAATCTTTGAGCGGGCTACATTGCAAATTCAATGACGTGAGAGGGTAACATTGCACTGTTACCGGCGAATGTTGACCGCTTGAGAGATTTATTTTCATAAATTTCTACACGAAAAAGTTTTTCTAACAAATCACTTTAAAACTGGTCCCTCGGGAAACAGTTAATTTTGTTTCCCTAGGGAAGCATTGAGATTCTCGGGAAACAAAATTGACTGTTTCCCTTGGGAGAAGTCGTTAAGTGTTTATTATTTCACCTGCCATTATTATTCCATTACGATTTCCAATGAAAGGAATAGGGGTAACAAAAGCTCACTACTACTTTAAAAGCATTTTTCTTGACTTTTCTTGATTTGACCATAAACAAACCTAGATAAATGGTTGACATTTAGAACCAACACCATAGGCTAAACACCTTTGGAAAAAATCCCAAAAAATTAAGATACCTGCTAACATCAAACTCCTTAAAACTGATCTAGAAGCCCTATTTCAAGGTCTACCTAAAACAAAGCTTAACATAATTTCTTGTATATTTCTACTTAAAGTAAACATTTTGACCCAAAATCATTGTGTAACCCAAATCCAAAAATGCCGACAAACACATTTTCCTGTCCCGTTTGGTCTAAAAAGAAAAAATAAAGAAATTTCAAAAATTTTGAGCAAAACCATCGACTATACCCTTTAAAAAAAGTGCCAATTTTTCAAATTTTTTCAATTGATATATTTTTAAATATATCAATTAAAAAATTTGACTTTGAAAAGTCAAAAAAGGCTAGATTCTATGTACAACATTACCGAAAACTTTTTCTAAGCCTATTTAGCCTAAAACAAGGAAGAAAACTTAAAGCTTTTGACCAAAACCATGGACTAACACCTTTGAAAAAAATAACAATATTTCGACTTTTGAGTTAATGTTTTTGTATTCCAAAAAAGGCTTCTTTTCTATCTAAAACGAAACCGAGCACTTTTACTTAGCCTATTTGCCCTAAAAAGAAAAGTGAAGTAATTTCAAAATTTTGACAGAAACCATGGACTAGCCACTTTGGAAAGTTTCGATTTTGTTAGACTTTTTCAAAACGTCACTTTTCCTATCTCAAAAGCATTTTTTTTATCCAGAATATCAAAACAACGATCTTTTCTGCCGCGATTTGCCAAACAAACACAGATCAAAAACCATGGACTAACCGTTTTGGACAATTTCGATTTTTTGGACTTATTTATAACTTTACTTTTCTCGTCTGAAAAACATCCTTTTCTGTGCAATATATAAAAAAACGATTTTTCTGGCTTGATTTCTCTCAAAAACAAAGATAAGAAAAAGTTCGATTTTTTGACAGAAACCCTAGACTAACCCCTTTAGAAAATCTCCATCCCCTTCCGTTCTTTTAAACTTCACTTTTCTGGTCTAAAAAGCTTTCTTATCCAGAATACCATACAACGATCTTTTCTGGCTTGATGTGCGGAAAAAGCACAAATGAGACAAGTTCGAACTTTTTTACAAAAATCATGGACTAACCCCTTTGGAAAATCTCGATTTTTTGGACTTTTTCAAAACATCATTTTTCTGGTCTAAAAAGAATTCCTTTCTATCCAGAACTTAAAACAATGTTTTCTCGCTCATTTATCCAAAATATATCGATAAGAAAATATTCGATTTTTTAAAAACGACCATAGACAAACCACTTTGGAAAATGTCGATGTTTTAGACTTTTTTAAAACTACACTCTTCTGGCCTAAAGAGCATTTTTTCTATCAAGAACATCAAAAAACAATCTTTTCTGGGTTAACTTGCACAAAAAATACCCATAAGAAAATGTTCGATTCTTTAACAAAAACCATGGAATAACAGCTATCGAAAATTTCCATTTTTTTCCTTTTTAAAACTGCACTGTTCTGGCTTAAAAAGCATTCTCTCCTATCCAGAATCTCAAAAAACAATCTTTTCTGGCTTAATTTTTCCAAAAAAATACCCATGAGAAAATATTCAATTTTTGGATAAAAAGTATAATCTATTTGGGAAATTTCGATTTTTTGGACTTTTTTAAAAATTCCCTTTTCTGGTCTAAAAAGCATTCTTTTTTATCCAGAATATCGAAAAACCATCTTATCTTGCTTAATTTGCCTAATAAATACCTATGAGAAAACATTCGGTTTTTTCACAGAAACCATGGACTAACCCCTTTGGAAAATGTTGATTTTTCTGACTTTTCTAAAACTTCACTTTTAATGTCTAAACAGCATTCTTATCTATCCAGAATATCAAAAAACCGTCTTTTCTTGCTTAATTTGCCTAATAAATACCTATGAGAAAACATTCGATTTTTTCACAAAAACCATGCACTAACCCCTTTGGAAAATTTTGGGCTTTTTTAAAACATCACATTTCTGGTCTAAACACGTTCTTTTCTATCCAGAATATCAAAAAAAGTCTTTTCTGGGTTGGTTTGTCCAAAAACTACGCATGAAAAAAAAATTGGCTTTTTTGACACAAAGCATGATTCGATTTCTTGGGCTTTTCAAAAATATCTTTCTTCTGGTCTAAAAAGCATTCTTTTCTCTCCACAATATCAAAATATGATTTTTTTTCTGGCTTAATTTGCCCAAAATTAAAAAAAGGATGGACTAACCCCTTTGGAAAATTTTGATTTTATTGACTTTTTTAAAACTTCAGTTTTCTTGTCTTGAAAGCATTGCTTTCTATAAAAAATATAAAAAAAACAATCTTTTCTGGCTTAATTTGCCCAAAAAATACCTATGAGAAAACATTAGATTTTTTGACAAAAGTCATGTACTAACTCCTTTAAAAAAAATTTCGATTTTTTCGATTTTTTTAAAACTTTACTTCTCTGGTCTAAAAAGCATTCTTTTCTATCCAGAATATCAAATAACTATCTTTTGTGGTTTAATTTGCCCAAACAATACCTGATTTTTTGACAAAAACCGCAAACTAACCCCTTTGGAACATTTCTGTTTTTTGGATTTTTTTAAAACTTCACTTTTCTGGTTTAAAAACCATTCTTTTCTATACAAAATATAAAAAAATGATCTTTTTTGGGTTGGTTTGTCCAAAAAATACAAAGAGGAAATATTCGATTATTTTGACAAAAAGCACGGACTAACCCCTTTGAAAAATTTCGATTTTTTGGCCTTTTTAAAAACTTTACTTTTCTGGTTTAAAAAGCATTCTTTTCTATCAAGAACATCAAAAAAACAATCTTTTCTGGCTTAATTTGTCTAAAAAACAACCATGACAAAATATTCGATTTTTGTAAAAAAACCATTGACAAACCCCTTTGCAAAATTTTGACTTTTTGGACTTTTTTAAGACTTCACTTTTCTTGACTAAAAATCATTCTTTTCTATCCAAAATATTAAACAACAACCTCTTCTGGATTAATTTGCCCAAAAAATACCCATGAGAAAATATCTGACTTTTCGACAAGAACCATAGACTAACCCCTTTGGAAAATTTCGATTTCAAAATTTTTTGGACTTTTTCAAAACTTCACTTTTCTGGTCTAAAAAGCATTCGCATTCTATCCGAAATACCAAACAACAACCTTTTCTGGTTTAATTTGTCAAAAACATACCCATGAGAAAATATTCGACTGTTTGAAAATAACCAACTTCTCGCAAATTCCGATTTTTGAGACCTTTTAAAACTTCACTTTTCTTGTCTAAAAAGGGTTCTTTTCTATCCAGAATACAAAAACCATGGAATTAGAAAAATGCAGATTTTTTGGACTTTTTTAAAATTCAATTTTCTTGCCTAACAAGCATTCTCTTATATCCAAAATATCAACTGACAAAAATTGGCCTTTTTCCATTATTTTTTTTTAGGGTAATATAGCACAGGAAAATGTGTTTCAGGAAAAAACTCCTCTCTAGGCTATAAAAACAACAAGTTCAAAAAGTAGAAAAATTAAGATTTTTCCAAAAAGGTTAACCCATGTTTTTGGTCTAAAAATGGCCATTTCCCATCATTTTTATTAGGCAATATAGGCCACGAAAATGTGTTTTAGGATATTCTAAAACGAGAAAGCGCCTTTCTAGGCTATAAAAACAACAAGTTCGAAAAGTCAAAAAATTGAGATTTTTCTAAAGGGGTCAAAAATAGACCATTTTTCCATTTTCTTTTTAGGCAATATAGAGCAAGAAAATGTGTTTTAGGATATTCTAGCACGAAAAAACGCCTATAAAAACAAGAAGTAGGCTATAAAAACAAGAAGTTCAAAAAATCGAAAAATTGAGATTTTTCCAAAAGGATTAACCCATAGTTTTGGTCAAAAAATGCCCATTTACCCATCATTTGTTTTTTAGGGACTATAGGCTGGAGAAAAGTGTTTTAGGATATTCTAGAACGAAAAAAACCGCCTTTCTAGGCTATTAAAACAAGAAATTCAAAAAGTTGAAAAATTAAGATTTTTCCAAAGGGGTTAACCGAGGCTTTTGCTTAAAAAAAATGACTATTATTCTATCATTCTTTTTAGGGAATATAAGCCAGTAAAATGTATTTTAGGACATTCTAGAACGAAACAACGCCTTTCTTGGCTATAAAAACAAAAAGTTCAAAAAGTCGGAAAATTGAGATTTTTCCAAAAGGGTTAACCCATATTTTTGGTCAAAAAGTGGCCATTTTTTTTATCTTTTTCTTTGGCAAAAAAGACCAGGAAAATGTGTTTTAGGATATTATAGAAAATAAAAATGGCCTTTCTAGGCTATAAAATCAAGAAGTTCAAAAAGTCGAAAAATTGAGATTTTTCCAAAAGGGTTACCCATTGTTATGGTCAAAAAATGGCCAGTTTCCCTTCATTTTTTTTTTAGAAAATATAGCCTAGAAAAATGTGTTTTAGGATATTCTAGAGCGAAAACACGCCTTTCTAGATTATAAAAACAAGAAGTTCAAAAGTCAAAAAATGTAGATTTTTTAAAAGGGATAAACCGATGGTTTTGGTCACAAAATGGCCATTTTTCCAACATGTCTTTCTTAGCCAATATAGGCAAGAAAAATCTGTTTTAGGATATTCTAGAACGAAAAAACGCATTTCTGGGCTATAAAAACAGAAAGTTTGAAAAGTGGAAAAAATCAGATTTTTCCAAAGTGGTCAACCCATGGTTTTAATCAAAAATTGGCCATTCTTCCATTTTCTTTCTTTTCTTTAGGCAATATAGCCCAGGAAAATGGATATTCTACAGCGAAAAAACGCCTTCTTTGGCTATAAAAACAAACAGTTCAAAAACTCAACAAAATTGAGATTTTTCCAATTCCAAAGGTGTCAACCAATGGTTTTGGTCGAAAATGAGCTAGTTTTTGATCTTTTTTTTTAAACCAATATAGGCTGGTAAAAAGTGTTTTCGGATAATCTAGAACTAAAAAAACCTTTCTAGGCTAAAAGATTAACAAGTTCAAAAAGTCGAAAAATTGATATTTTTAAAAGAGGGTTAACCCATGGTTTTGGTCAAAAATTGGCCATTTTTCTATCTTTTTTATTTTAAGGAATATAGAGCAGGAAGATATGTTTAAAGATATTCTAGAACTAAAAAACGCCTTTCTTTGCTACAAAAACAAGACGTTCAAAAAGTCGAAATATTGAGATTCTTCCAAAGGGTTTAACCCATGGTTTTGGTCAAAAATTGGCCATTTTTCCATCTTTTTTTTGAGGCAACATAGGATGGTAAAAAGTTCTTTAGGATATTCTAGAACAAAAAACGCCTTTCTAGGCTATAAAATCAAAAAGTTCAAAAAGTCGAAAAATTGACATTTTTCCAAAGAGGTTAACCCATGGTTTTGGTCAAAAACTGGGCATTTTTTAATCTTTTTTTTTAGGCAATACAGGCCACGAAAATATGTTTTAGGATATTTTAGAACAAAAAAAAGCGTTTGTAGGCTTTAAAAATAAAAAGTTCAAAAGTCGAAAAATTCAGGTTTTTCCAAAGAGGTTAACCCATGGTTTGAGTCCCAAAAGGGCCATTTTCCCCACTTTTTTTTGGCAATATAGCCCGGGAAAATGTGTTTTAAGATATTCTAGAACGAAAAAACTCTATAAAAACAAAAAGTTAAAAAAGTCGAGAAATTGGGATTTTTCCAAACGAATAGACCCACGCTTTTGGCCCCAAAATAGCCATTTTTCCAACTTTTTTTTTGGCAATATAGGAAAGAAATATGTTTTGCGGTATTTTAAAACAAAAAATTCCTTTCCAGTATATAAAAAAAAAAGTTTAAAAGGTCGAAAAATTGAGATTTTTTGAAAAGGGATTAATCCAAGGTTTTGGTCCAAAGAGGGCCATTTTTCCAACTCCTTTTTTTAGCAATATAGACCAGGAATATGAGCTTTACGATATTCTACAACAAAAAAACGCCTTTCTAGGCTATAAAAACAAGAAGTTCAAAAAGTCGAAAAATTGAGACTTTTCCAAAGGGATTGACGCATAGTTTTTGTCCAAAAGAGGCTATCTTTCCACTTTTTTTTTAGGCAATATGGGCCAAGAAAATGTATTTTACGATATTCTAAAACGGAAAAACGCCTTACGAGGCTATAAAAAAAAGAGTTTCAAAAACTCAAAAAAATTGAGATTTTTCTAAAGTTGTTAATCCATGCTTTTGGTCCTAAAATACCCATTATTCCAACTTTTTTTTAGGCAATATAGGTTAGGAAAACGTCTTTTACGATATTCTAGAACGAAAAAACGCTTTTCTAGGCTATTAAAACAAGAAGTTCAAAAACTCGAAAAATCGAGATTTTACCCAGGGGGTTAACCCATGGTTTTGGTCCAAAAATGGCCACATTTAAATTTATTTTTAGGTAATATAGGCCAGGAAAATATGTTTTACGATATTCTAGAAGGAAAAAACGCCTTTCTAGGCTATAAAAACAACAAATTCCAAAAATATAGGGCAGGAAAAAGTTTTTAACAATATTCGAAAACGAAAAAACGCTTTCCTAGGCTGTAAAAACAACAAATTCAAAAAGTTGAAAAATTGAGATTTTCCCAAAGGGGTTAACCCATGGTTTTGGTCCAGAAATGGTTATTTTTCCAACTTTTTGTTTTAGGCAATCTAGGCCAGGAAAATATGTTTTTCGATAGTCTAGAACGAAAAAACGCCTTTCTAGGCTATAAAAACAAGAACTTCAAAAACTCGAAAAATTGAGATTTTTCCTAAGGAGTTAACCCACGGTTTTGCTCCAAAAATGGATATTTTTTCAAGTTTTTTTTTCTTAGGCAATATAGGCCAGAAAAATGATGTTTTACGATATTCTACAACTAAAAAGCGCTTTTCTAGGCTATAAAAACAAAAATTTTAAAAAATCGAAAAATTAAGCTTTTACTAAAGAGGTTAACGCATCGTTTGTATGGCAAGCCAAATGTAGCAATATTCAATTCGTTTAATTTTTTTATGTAGTTTTGTATTATGTGTTCAACTATGTGTTTAATATTCAACTTATATTCAACATTCAACGCGTTATTCAATATTCAACTTCGCATTCAACATTCAACTATTCATTTTATATTCAATTCCTTATTCACCCATTCAATTATCTATTCAACACTTTCAACCATTTATTCAACATTCAACTTTAATTATTAAAACATTCAACTATTCATTCAACATTGAACTTTAATTCAACATTCAACTATTCATTCAATATTCAACTATTCATTCAACTCTTTTGAGCCCTCACTACTTCTGGTCAGT